AAGAAGGGAGGGACCTGGTAGAGGTCACTCAGTACAGAAAACTCTAGCTTGAATTTGCTTTGAGGTCTCCCAGCAGTAAATCAAATCTAATTTTCAGATGCCCTATAAAGTCAAGTGGGATACACTCAAGGTTGTACTTTGCCTGTTATGGACTTGTTTTAACTTGCTTCAGTTTCAACAAGTACTTGTCTATAAGCAATTGATGAACTATTGTGCTATAGGCCTCAGGTTTTATTCTGACTGATAATATTGAGCTTCTCCTTCTACATGTATTGCCAATTTGATTCCTGTGGTATTCCATTCGGCAAGGTCCATGTATAAAGTCAACATTTAATAAAAGGTATTTGCAATGAAGAAGTCTTGCAAAATTCTGTCAGATAATCTCCAATATCATTTCTATCACTAGGGCCATATTTTCCAATTACTGATCCTTCTTCTTTTCTAACTTTCATATTCCAATTACCAGTAACTATCAATGCATCTTGATTGCATGTTCGATCAATTTTACATTACTGAAGTTGGCAAAAATTTCAACTTCTTCATCTTTGGCCTTAGAAACTGGTATGTAAATTTAAATAACAATCATAGTAACTGGCTTTCCTTGGAAGTGTATGGTTATTACCCTATTACTGACAGCACTGTATTTCAGGATAGATTTTGAAATTTTTTTAAAAAAAGAAACCTGTTGTTGTTGCAGTTAGGTGCTGTTGCGTGGGTTCTGACTCATAGTGACCCTATGTACAACAGAAGGAAACACTGCCCGGCCCTGTGAAATCCTCACAACTGTTGTTATGTTTGAGTTTGTTATTGCTGTCACTGTGTCAATCCATCTCAACATGATGTCCTTCTTTAAGGAGTGGCCCTTTCTGCAACGTGTCCCAAATACATCTTGCCATCATCACTTCTAATAAACAGTCAGATCATACTTCTCCCACAACAGATTTGTTCATTCTTCTGGCAGTTCCTGTTACTTACAATATTCTTTACCAACAACGTACTTCATATGCATTGATTCTTCCCTGGTTTTTGTTAATCTAAATGATCAATGATGTACTAGACTGAGCAGTAACAACTTGGGGATCTCAAACACCTGGGAAAGATAAGGACTAGGACAACTGCTGTTTCTGCCACAGAGTTGATTCCAACTCATGGCGACTCCATGTGCGCAGAGTAGAACTCTTCCATAGGGTTTATAAAGTTGGCACCTTTGAGAAGCACATCTCTAGGCCTGTATTCCAAGCTCCTCTGAGTATGTTCTAACAGGCAACCTGTTGACTAGCAATGGAGCACTTAAATGTTGGTGCCACCCAGGGACTCCTAGAACAATTGCTATGTCAAAGGAACTGACAACAGCTATCAAAATCTCAAATGCACATGCTCTTTTACCCAAGCATTCTACCTATGAAAATTTACCCTCCAGATGTACTTGCATATGTGCAATACACAAGGTCATTCACTTCAACACTGTTTCAAAGAGCAAATGACTAGATACTTAAAAATCCAGGCAAGGAGACTCATTAAATGCAGCGTGGGACCTCTGTTGGACAGAGCCCTACCCAGTTACTAAACAGCAGGCAGTGGTCTCATAAACTAATAATGGGATGATCTCCAGATACATTTTTCAGTAAAAAAGTCAAAGTGTTGGACGATTTGAATGTATATAGTATGCTACCAGCAGTGTTTAAAAATAAATGGAAGGCCCATAAAGGCACGAAGTGACTGGCTTATAAGTTTTCAAGAGGGAGTTTAATTTTAGAGGGTGTTGGGGAAGGTAGAATCTCCACTGAGTGGTTTTCAACTGGTCTAGACAGGGCTGGTGAAAGGAGATGGGGATAAGACTCTTATTATTCAATAGTGAATAATTGTTATCATGACTGATTGCGATTGTTCCAACTGTAAAGGAAATCATTTTGTAGCAAAAAGAGGGGAATAGCAGTCCAGGAGCAGTGGACCCTGGGACTATATAGGGAGAAGAGCGGGATCAGAGTGTTGGACCCTATTCAGAGAAGCAGCAATGCCAGAGATGGAGGCAGAGATGATGATGTGGAGAGAAGGAGTGGCTGGGGGCGCTTGACTCATGGAGGGAGAGATGCTGTGTGCTGGCAGGCAGGGGTCAGGCTTGCAAGGTATGCCCTTTGGGTGTTTTGGATGACTGCATATTCCTAAGTGCTTTGGTGTACATCCAAGAAAAAAAAAAAAACACAAAAAAAAAACCCAGAGGGAATAGAAGCAAATACTGTTCAATGATGATGCATGGAGGGGATTGTAATCATTGCAATGAAATGAAATACGACAGGATGAGTGTAAAGCTGATGTTCTCCCATGTAAACTATCACTCAATTCACAGTAAAAACTTAAAAAAAAAAAAAAAAAGTAAAGGGAGAGTGGAAGGGGAAGATATGGAGAAATAAGATTCCAGGAATTTTTAAAAAGTAGCACCAAGGCAGAAGTGCTGACATATTTGAGATGAGGTATGAAAGAAGAGAGGGATCAGAAACGACTAAACATTTGGGCTAAGAAGCTGGGTGAATGCAGTTTTCATTTATTGGGGTATCTAGAATTAGGCAAGAAGCAATTTTGGAAGAGGATCTCACTTTAGGACATGTTGAGTTTGAAATATTATTAAATAATCAAAGAAGATATCAGATGGGCAGTTTGATATATGAGAGTCACCTATGAATCTTATTAAAATGTAGACTCTAATTTATATTGGAAGTGGGAATTTTCTGCAAGGGGTTTAAATAGAATGAACTGGTTTGAAGTTCTTGAGAAGTGCTAAAGCAATGTCTCTGAGTAAGTGAGAGAGAACAGTATCTTGTGTATAAACAAAGTGGAGATCTACTCCAGGATTATGGACAGTTTATCTATGGAAACAAGAGGACAATGGAAACTAAGGCTAAAAACATTTTAGGTGAGCTTATGTGGAGGAAGAGCTCATAGAAGTTCTCTCCCATTGTTTCTGCTTTCCTAGTCTAGTAAAAAAGCAAGAATGCTGAGAACGAGGATGGAGGAAAAAGAGTTGGGAGAAAATACAGAATAATGGACGATTAAGTAGAGGAGTAATGATATCCAGGGAGAGTTAAGGCTTCATTTGACATTCATCTATTATTAATAAGATCAGTTGTCATGACTATGTTTTACTTTGTCTGCTCAGAAAACTTAAGTAAGCTCAGTTTCTGAAAACTAATATAACTCAGTAATGACTGACATGATGCTTTTGGTGTTCTTCTCCAGCACCATAACTCAAATGCAACCATTATGCTATGGTCTTCCTTGTTCAGGCTGAACAATCAATGGGGAAAATTGTAGAAGGATTGATGCATTTGAGTTATGGTGTTGGAGAAGAATATTAAGATTACCACAGACTACTAGAAGAAAAAACAAATCTGTGTTGGAAGAAGTACAGCCAGAATCCTCCTTAGATGCCAGGATGGCAAGACATCGTCTTTCATGCTTCTGACATGTTATCAGGAAGGACCAGAGCCTGAAGAAAGACATCATGTTTGGCAGTGGAAGGTCAGTAAAAAAGGGGAAAACCCCCAATGAGATGGATTGGCAAGAGTGGCAGCAGTAATGGACTCATGCATAACAATAATTGTGAGGATGATGCAGGACTGGGTAGTGTTTTGTTGTGCATAGGATAGCTATGAGTCAGAGCCCACTTGATGGCACCTAACAATAGCAATAACAAATAACTGACAAAGGTGTTTAAGACATTACCAGAGCAGTCTCTTTACTAGTTCCTGAAAAGTCCTCAATAGATTTGGGGTCTCTTGTGTACAGTTAGTAACTGTTATAAATACCTCTATCTTAACAGTGTAGCACTGTAGGATAAGCACTGGACTGCTCATCACAATGTCTTTGGTTGACACTCACCAGCTGCTCCTTGGAAACCCTTTGTAAGTCGGAAACAACTCTAAGGTCCTTAACAACAATGAAAACAACAACTCACTGATCATTTTGTCACACTGGGATGATGGCTTGCTTGTTACTATGATGCTGGAAATTACGTCACAAATATTTTAAATATTTAAATCACCCATGGTACATAGATTTCAGCAATTTCCAGACTAAAACAGACTAGAAAACAAGATTAGGCGGTCTACTTTTGAAAACCAGCCAATTGATACCATTTTTTGTTTGTTGTTTGTTAATAAGTGCAGTCGAGTTGGTTTCGACTCACAGTGACCCTGTATAGTGGCTGAATCACCAACCTTGTGATTCAAACTGACCTTGTAGTTGAGTGCTTATCCTACAGCGCCAAACTAAAACCTTATGATACGTTTAAAGAGATGTTGGCGCATTTTAAAAAATGTAACTAATGTCCCTGAATGATTTGTGTTGTTGTTGAGTGCTACTGAGTTGGTTCTGACTTACAGCAACACTGTATAGGGTTTTCAAGGAGTGACTGGTGGGTTTGAACTGCTGACCTTGGGATTAGCAGTCCAGTGATTATCCTAAAGCTCCATACCAAGACTCTAATTTATAGAATCTGTTAAATTTCCTGTGTACATTTTTACTGAAAACACAATAAAACATATTTTTAAATAAATAAATAAATGGCAGGGTAATGCATATACATGGTATACTTGTATATATGAGGAAACCTCAAAATGCTTGTGAAAAATTCCATTATCTTTGTTATTTTTTATTGTGAATTGAGAGGTTAATAGATTCTATTATCTTTCAATTCCATTTTCCCACAAACTTTCTGAAGCCCCCTCTTACATACAGGCATGTGTAAAGGAGCTTTAGTGGTGCACTGAACTGCTAACGAAAAGGTAGTGAGTTAAAGGAATCAGTGGTTGAAAGCTATGGCAGTTGACATCCATCAAGCTTCACAGCCTTAGAAACCATGGGGAGCAGTTTTACTCTGTCCTACAGGGTTGGAATCACTTGAAGGCCGTGGGTGGGTTTACATGTGTATACATAGACAGACAGACATGTGCGTGTGTATGGGTGTGGTGCTGAGCTGCCAGTCAGCCTCATGCTCTGCTCACCTGGGTGCTCTCATCGTGGAAGCCCTCAAGGAAGCTCTCGAGCAGCTCGTCGGCGTTGTCGATGCGCTCAGCGTACTCGCCTACGATCCAGATCATGGCAGCCCGGGCCTCAGGCTCGTCCAAGGAGTCCAGGTTCTCACACAGCGTGGCGATAACACTCTCGTACCTGGAAGACAAGGGCACAGCTGGCCCAGAGCATGCAGCAGCCCCAGGCAGGTCCAGTAGGAGCCCAAGGGGTGGCAGCTTCCTCAAGGACCCCAGAGAGTGGTGAGTTAAGGGGATGTGAGTTTTAACTGTTAATATTTTAATTCTTATTTTGGCCTAGGGAACAGAGGAGTAGCTCAGGGAAAACCTATAAAAGAAAGAGGTGGTGTTTTTTCTGAGATGCTGTTTGTGGCCGGGAAGTGAGAAGAGGCCCCTTCTTCCTTCCTTCCCTCCCCACCCACACCTGCTCCAAGCAGAGCCAGACCCCATCGTGGGACAGGTGGGCACACACTTGTTGGGGTACTTGCGGAAGATGTCCTTGATGACCACAATGGCTTCCTGGACCACATAGTTGACCTTGGTCTGGATGAGATCGAGCAGCGTGCTCACACAGCGCTCTGCTGATTGCTACATGGAGAGAGCAGGAGAAAAGAGTGTGGGCATAGTCCCTGCCTCCTATTCCCAAGAGGACTTCTTGGCCAGTAGGGCTTGACCAAGGGCTAAAAGTCACTCCTGGTCTACCTTCCTCATCACAGCAGAAGAACATGCTCCTCAGACATCAGACAGAAGAATGAGTGTAAAACGACTGCCCTGGGATCCCACAGAATTAGACTCAGGAGACAGCCAAAGGCAGAGAATGAGGAAAGTGTTTGGGGCTCATCCAAGTAAGCCTTTCCAGCTGTTTCAAAAAACAGGTTATAGGTTCCCATAACCCCCCCCCCCCCCCAGAAAAACACTGAGAAAGTCTCTGCTGGGGCCAGCCATTCTTTGCCTCATTCCAACAGACTACACTGATATCCTGGGACTCCTCACAACTGCCATCATAGGTGCCAAGGGGTGACCAGGGCCCTCTAGACCCCAGTGGACTGGCTTAAGGATAGCTTCCTTATAGGCAGAGAATGGGAGGAGTTGAAAGGCTAGAACATGTGTTTGGAGCAGCCCCAAAGAAGTTGGAGGAAAGAAGCACATGGTCAGTTGACTCATGACAATGTTACAATGTCCATGAGGTAGAGTTCTTGCCAGAAAGCTCCACAAAGTGAAAAGTTAAATCCACCAAAGCTAACACCTGTTTGTGGCTGTCTCGTCATCTCAGTCAATGCTATCAGAGAGCCCATAATGATGACAATAAATATAATTAGAAGCAATTTGAAGGCCTAAAGAATATGGCAGAACAAGGAGGCTGGCCAAATCTTCACAAGGGGTGCCTCGGGGACTCCAGGGGTGACCTTCAGGCCTTTCTGGACAAGGACAGCTGAAAGATTCTGCTAGAATTAGAGGGTCTACTGGCTTTGGTTTCCTCCCTCCTCTGGCCAACACAGAGCCCAGGGCCTCACCTCCACCTTGATGGCGCAGCGGCCAATGGCTCGCACAGCTTTCCGTACAAAGTCCACATCTACTTCTGTCGCGTACTCTTTCAGCTCTGCCAACACCTGAAGCCCAAAGAGAGAAGAAGGGAGCTAGGAGGAAAATCTAGTGGGACAACTCCTTGCAATATACCTGGGCAGCTGATGTGCCCAGACCTCTGGAAGGATGGAGCTCTTCTTTCTGACTGAGACAGAAGACCCAAGGGAGGGAAAGAACTGCTAGGTGCCCAGATTGGGAAGCAGGAGGACTAGTTGATAGGGCTGGAACACTCTTTGTCTGGTTGATCTAGCTGACACATCAACCTATTGACTGCTTTTTGAATGGATGGATGATAGGCAGTAATCGGGAGATCACATTCTTTAGTAATGAAACATCAGTTAACCATTGTTAAGCACTAACGGACTCTGGGCCCTTGCTCAGCCCTTTTCATGAGGAGGAACCAGTAACTGAGTCAGACAACAGCCCAGAGACCACAGCTCGCTACTGGTCAAACTGCTTGATGCTAAACTAAGCCCCTGACCACCCCGCTGCTGACCTGGGCGATGTTGGCCTGGGAAGCCAGGCGGATCATGATGTCCAGCTTCTCCAGCTTCACATAGATGGGGTCATTGTACTTCACAAAGAAGACTTTCATCTCATGTTTCAGGATCTCAGGCCTAGGGGCAGGGCGGGGTTGCCCCCAAGAGCAAGAAGCAGGGCATAAGCTCATGAGAAATGTCCTCTCTCCACCTTTGTTGGGCTGCTTCTTCTCCTGGGCCTGAGTGGAGCCTGACACGGTGAAGGCAGTCTGGCCAGAGCTATAGCCCGATGATCCCCTGGCGTGCCTGCACGGGGTTCTGAGAGACCACTTGTATGTCTGACCACATCACAGGGGGAGGGCTGGGAAGAGGCCGCTCACATGTGGGAGGCAGTAGGCACACTGGTATGGGCTTAGGAATCAGATGGACCTCGGGTCCAATCCCAGCTGGGATCTCAAGCCTCTGTTTCCACATCCGTGAAATGGGAATGACAACCCGCAGGAAAGAGCCCACTATGGCACTTAACAACAATAGCAACCCTTAGAAAGACCTAAATAGAACGTGGTCACTTATTCCATAACTGATAAGGGTGGGTAACAGTGTCTGCTCTTTTGACAGTCAACATGGTTTGCCTTGAATACCTGCTGTCCTGCTTGGAATCTGGAATCTTGGTAGATGCCAGGCAAAGAATGTCTATGTGACAGTCCCCTCAAAGCCCTTGGGTACCAGGCTTCCCTGGGCAGCAAAAGGGCACTTCCTTCCCGGGGGCAGAGTACTCTGTATGACTTCCATGGCAGTGTAGAGCCTGGAAAGCCTGCTCATGGATTCTTCCAGACTCGGCCTGTCTTTTCCCGTGTGACCTGCCTGTGTGTCCTCACTATGCTGCTAGAGCAGATCTTAGCCGTGAGGACAGCTATCTGATGAATCCATGAGGCCTAGCAAATCTCTGAAGCTGGCATGGTCTAGGGAGCCCTGAAACAGATCCCTACACAGCAGAGCTACTGCAAGAGTGAGATGTGAGCATTCAGCACTACGCCTGACTCAGACACGTTGCCACTGCAGAACCCTTCATGTATGCCACTGTGCCTGCCCCAAAGGCACCTGGGGCACCACTTGCTGCTTCCCTTTGGCTGAAGAAACCTCAGAGGTTGAGGGTGTTGCATAAGGTCCCACCACTGATGCTGCTAAGGAAGTGGGCTGAGTCACCAGGCCTGAACTTTTATTCCTGTGCCATTTCCAGAAAGGAGATGGAGGAGGAGAAGTGAGGACAGAGAGGAAAGAGATGTATTGGACCCTCAGTGCTGTTGGGCCCTTGGTGGGAGGCTTTGGAGTGCCCAGTTGAGGGGCCAGAAACTGAATGGTACAGCCAGAAGATGAGGTTTCTGCAATCAAGACCTGCCAGGACTTGACCAGGCAGTGTCTTGGTGATGTAGATAACTTCTTAGGAGATTTATGGTGTCAAATATAGCACAGGCTCTTCAGGTCACTGCAGCTTACCGAGACCAGTGACCAAGGGCATTGGTGTGCATACTCTAAGCCCCACACTGCAACTGCGAATCCCTTGCCTAATCCCACCATGTGGACCTTCAAAAAGTTTTCCCGTATTTACTTCCCCCACCTCACTGTCCCTGTCCACAGAGGCTCCCAAGAATCTAATACCATGGCAAGGAGCATGCACCATCTTCCAAGAGAGAATAGCTAGAAGACACTTTTATACTTGTGCATCCTTGCTCCTGGCAACAGGGATCAAGTTAATTGTTGAATCTGACTGCAGTGGCTGGGGCAGAACTCAGGAACCCAATTCCACTTCACAGAGCCTTAGAGGAAAGGAGGTGACCAAAGAAGTCCTGCTCTGGGCCCTCGGAACCACTGCTGCTCCACTCTTTTCTACTTGCACCCCCTCCTTCAGGCCCTTCCCCTAGGAACAGTGTGGGGAGAAGGGAAGGGGTTGCACACTGCTCTGCGTAAGTCAGAGCTCTGGACTCTGTCCCCAGAAAACATGCACACACTCAAGAGTGTGACACACATTTCAGGAGGGCTTGGGAGCTTGTAAGCCTTCAGCTGTCCATGGTTAAGAACCCTGACTACAGTCTTTACCTGTCCTGTGACCTGGGTTAGGTTTAGCCAGGGGCTCTCAGCCTTCTGCGGTGGCGGCTACCCTGTGCAGTGGAGGATGTTGACCTGCATCCCTGGTCTCTCCTCACAAGATGCCAGCAGCACCTTTTCCCTCTAAGTTGTGATAACCACAAGTGTTTCTCGTTGTTGTTTTTACGTGCTGTTGAGTCAGTCAGACTCATAATGATCCTGTAATAAGGTTCCCAAGGAGTGGCTGGTGGGTTTGAACCACCAATCCTGTGGTTCAAACTGACCTTGCAGTCCAGTGCTTTAGCCCACTGCACCACACCAGGACTCCTAGACATTGCTAAATGCTCCCCTACTGAAATGCAATGGAAGAAGCTATTTTTTGAGATGTTCAGCCTGGTGACAGGTCAGTTTCCCTACGGCAGAATACTCGCCCGAGTGCAAAATGCAGGAGGTCCTGTACCTTTTCTGCACAATGAGGTTGATGTTGCGTAGGGCCACATACTGTAGCTCAGGCTCGGCTGACAGTAGTGTGACCAGGGGTGGGGCCAGCTTCTTGAGCAGCGTGCCGTAGTAGTCCAGGTCCTTGGACAACATCTCCATGAACTTCATCAGCACTTTCACAGCAGACAGCACCACAGCAGAGTTGGCGTGGGACAGTCTGGGGGTGACCCGCTCGCAGATGCTGGGGTCCATTCCAATAGGACAAACAGGAGAGACAAACAAGGGAAAACACCCTGCTTTTAGTCATCAAGATATTGTGTCTCTAGCAGGAGGAAGCCTAGATCCTGGATCTGCTGTTTACTAACTGATCCCAAGCAAGTTACAACTGGTCTGAACCTCAGTTTCCAAATCTGTAAAATGGGCAGGATACTGCCTACTTCAAAGGGTTGCTGAAGGTTTAAACAATACAATGTGTGTACAGCACAGCACAAAATGTCCATCCTAGGCTTGACAATTTGCCTGGAGCAACAGAGGAAGAAGGAAAGTGAAGACTAGGAAGCGTAAATGGAATGTGTTGTTAAATGCCCCTATGAACAACTGCATTCTTTGCCATGAGACCGTAAGACCTGGATGGTACCCAACTACCATTACTGAACATTTTCTTCAAAGATTCTACAGAAGAATCCTGATCAAAAGGGGGGAAATGCAGAACAGAATTTCAAAGAATGTAGTCAATGTCACTGAAATACAAAAGAAGAAGCAGTTGGTGTATATATTTTGCTGTGCAGATTCTCAACAACAAAGAAAATCCTATGGAGCAGCTCTACTCTGTACACATGGGGTTGCCATGAAAAAAAAATAAGACAAAGTAATCAGTACAGTTACTAGAATACAGTGACTCCACCATAGATGTCATCTCCTCTGTCCTACTGCTAAGGTGCTCAAAAGGAACAGGCAAGCAAGTTGGTTAAAATCAACAGTTTCCTCCACAACTTTAAGTGGGATTGTCCTCCTCTGTAAAGTGAGGAATGATGGGAGAACCTCCTTCACAGAGTATCTAATGCATGGAAATAGCCAGCAGAACCTTCAGCTGACTTCTCATTGACACATTACTGAGTGGTGGCTTTGACAGTACCAGCTTCCTCAGTCTGGGGTGCCCGGGGTCTCCATCAGTAAGCGCCCATGATGAGCAGTGAGTTGACTGCCTGAAGCAGTGTGCGTGTTATTGAAAGCATGGCTCTGGAGAGCCCAGAAGCTACCAGCCTCCCTTGAAATGAATCTGAAGATGGTTTATGCAGAAAGGCCTGCAAAGAGCCCATAAGAGGCCTAAGCATCACTGTTGGAGTCCCCTGAGAACCAGGCCACACTGGGCTGGTGAGCCAAGGATGGCCTGCTCACCTCTGGGCCTCTCGGTCGTCCTTGGGCGTGTAGTTGGCAAGGCAGTCCAGGATGAAGATCTGGCCCCATTCGGTGCACTCATTCAGGGCAGTCAGCAGCTTGTTAATGGACTGCGGGTTCAGGTCGAGCAAGTTGCTGCTAGGGTGAGACTCAGCGATCTCTGAGAGGGCAGCCACTGCGTTTGCCACCACCTGGTGAGAAGGTGGAAGGGGCAGAGGCTGGGGCACGGCTTAAAGGCCGAGAGCAGCGGGGCTAATGCTCCCCTCTCCCATTGGTGCTGGCTGGCCAGAAGGTACATATCCTAAAAACAGGATTGAAGGGAAGGGTCTGGAGCATCCTCTTGTAGCACTCCTCTGTAAACTGGCACTAAAATAACTGCACCTCTCATTAAAGAAAAAGAAGAGGTAGAACAAAAATAAGTGAGAACTAGCTATAAGTGCCAGCCATATAAAGCAGTCTCCACTACTGAACACAAGAGACTCATCCAGCGATCAGCTACAACAGCTCACTGAACAGTTTGTCAAAGCCTGCTTCTCCCAAGTAGATAATCTCTGTGAGCCCCTCAGGGCTGCTGGGAGTGAGTGGGGACTGGAGGGCAGAAGGCCTTGCCAAGTGAAGCTCTGGGCCCACTGTCCAAAGTCACGAGAAACTGGCAGCTTTTGTGTTCTGCATCGTTCCCTCCTTCCCCCGTGTCAAATGCTCTAACACCCACCCGTCCTGGCCACTCATGCCCACGTGGGACCAGCATGTCTGTAGGATACAGAATGGGAATGGCCAGGTTGAAGGCCTTGTACATCTTTTTTTTTTTAACAGGTCCCAACAAACTACCTTCCAAACCACTGCCAGTGCTGTGTGTGAGGATACTGGCATGCCCACCCGGCCACAAACCTAGGGTGGCCCTGTCTTCCAAGTCACACTACTTCAAGGGTGATCCTCTATAGCCCTGCATAACCTGGACAAAGGGCCAGCACCTCCTACTCATTAAAGGGACCATGGGTGGAAAGGGGAAGAAAAGGGCACTAGTTTACTGAGGGCCAGGTCATGCAGGTCTTTTTACATTCAGAGAGCTGTTAGCCTCAAGACAACCCTGCCAGCCATGCATCCTGAAATCCATCTGTAAGGTGAAGAGAGGGCTCTGAAAGGTCAAGCAGCTAGCCCAAGGTCACATGGTACGTTAGAGATGGCACGGAGAAGGAATGCAGGTCTAGCTCACTCCATTGCAGGGCAACAAACAGCACATGGAAGAACTTAGCAGGGCCCTGATTTCCAGGAACTGGAGAACTGCCTGGCCAAAGTCATGCCAGTCTCCTAAAGCAAGTTGGGAGGTGGTACAATGGGTGATGGAGGCTTACCATGGGGTTAGAGTCAGAAATGAGGTCTTTCAGTGTGTCCAGGAAGCCCTGGTCCTCCACCAGCTGGGCATTAATATCGTGAAGCTTGGCCACGCACACAGCAGCTGTCTTGCGCACGTAGGGATCCTCATCCTTCAGGCACTTCCGAAGGGGCTCGCACAGGTACTCTGTGATCTTGTCAACTCGGATGCAGCCCATGGTCCTCACAGCCAGGGCTCGGATCAGGGGGTTGGGGTCCTCACAGTCCTGAGGGGGATCAGACATTGGTTGAGGGGCTTCAAATTTTCCCTGGCCTGCTCACATTAGGAGCCAGAACCCAGCCAGGCTGAGCAACATCAGACAGCTGTTGTGGCATCTCCCATCAACTGCAGCACAAGTATCAGAGTAAATGCCATGTAACAGGCACTTAGCATTTGCCAGACACTGCCAGAACCTGCCCATTCACCCCTTGAACCCTTACAGGGGACACAATACTGGCCCTGTGGTAGTGAGGAGGAAGCTTGGGAGCCATTCCTTAAACCACATCCTGCAATCTCCCAATCGAAGTCCTCATTTTCCGTTCTCTGAGCCATTGGAGGACTGGTAAGAGCTTGGGCTCCAAGGTGCATAGAGCTAATGTTTCAAGCGCCTGCCTGCTCCTCAGTCGGAGAAGAGAAAGGGTGGAAAGGAGTAGAGCAGGGGAACACAAAGGATGCAGGGCAGGGGCTTGCCCACAGAGGTGTGAAGGATACAACAGACTTGGTGCAACCTCACATAGTTAAGCATCTGATTTTCTGGAGAGAGTGGGGTACACTGCTGGAGAAGCAGCCCTCAGCTAAGTAGGGGCAGGCAGTCTAAGGGCCTGGAAAGGAGGCAGAGAGCTCCAATTAAGGGCCATAGCTGCCTCACCCTCAGGAGACAGGGGAAAGAAGGAGCAATGAGCATCCTGTGCCCCCTCCCACCAAACTCCTTTCACCTTCACAAAGGTGTTGACAGCCATAATGGCCATGTCAGGCTGACTCTTGGCATAGTTCATCAAGTAGAGGTACACCAGCTTCTTTAGCTCCAGGTTGTCTGTCTGCATACAGTTCACCACGTCAGGGAAGAGGGCACTGAAAGGTAAGAGTGTGTCAGTGTGCGCTAGGACGAAGAAAGCAGAGATTTTTCAGGAAGTGAATTTTGTGGGCAGGGGAAGAGGTGAAGAAGAGGAAACATCCAGTGAAAAGGAGGGTATCAGCTGTGCTTTGTTACCACAAACACCTCCCAATATAAATGAAATTCCACTGAGGGGATTTGAAAACCAAACAAATTCCCTTGCTCTTTTCACAGGGTTCAAATATGAGTTCAGGAGTTTCAGCTCCAGCTCATGCCAGTTCCCAATATCTTCATGATGTTGGGAAAATTCCATCATCCCAAGTCTCGGTTTCCTCATTTGTAAGAGAAGTGTCACAAAAGCTTATTTCACAGACCTTTATGATAATGAGACAACTTAAGCTGTCAGGTCCTTATGTCTGACAGGTGCTGAGCAAATGAAAACTCTTCTTTTCTTTTCCCCTAGTATTTCAAGAGGAGCCCTTAGGTGGGACTGCTGGTACCAGAAGGTATATAGGGAAGCAGGGATGGATCTGTGTTGCTTTCATTACAGGATCGATTCTGACCCACTCAGACCCACCAGCATGTGTGATGTACACACTGTAGGCCATGCTTCGGGTGAACTTGCTCTCATTTCATGGCCCTGAGTGGCCAGGAGATTAGCCCATGTTACAGAGAACTCTGAGTCTCACATTTAACAACCTATCTGAGAAGCCAGCTTTGACTCCAAAGCCCATCTCATGACTGATACACTGGGACCCTTCTCAACATGGTGCCCAATGGTCCCCCAGTGCCAGGTGTGAATGGTTACAGGTCTACTTTCTAACTCTACAAGTATCACCTCCCCTCTTCATTCTTAGGCTTTCTCCAGACAGGGACTTGAGAGGGCAAGGCAAACTTCCTGCGCAGCGGAAGGCCACTGTGGCTGAGTGCCAACAGGCAGAAGGAAACCTGAAGCTGAAATTGGAAGACGCTGCAGCAGAAGAAGTGGAGAAAAGGGAAGGAAAATTGCTGAGGAGCTTGACTTGCTCTCCTGTGCCTGGCACATCAGCAAAACAAGTGCATTTGAGATGGAAGAACAAAGAAGTTTCCTCTGGGAGGAGGTGACACCAGTGTTCCAGTTGAAGGAGAGTGGCTGTGTCCTAGGAGCAGTGCTTTGGACGGCAGCCCCGTTTTCCAGCAGAGGCCCGATCCCCTAGCTGCTCAGTCTGCAGCAGGTAGCTCTGCATAGCATTCTCTCCTTTGCCTCATCTGGGGGTTTCTGGCAGAGGGTGGCAATGGATAGGGAAATCCGTGAAGTAGTTGGTATCAGTGGAATTGTGCCACAGGACCCAGATGGGGGGCTGTTCCATAAGCGCCCAAGCCCATGAAACGGAGCTGAACACCATGAAGGCACAGAAGACAGGGCATGGGCATCCTGGGCCTGGATTTCAGAAGTATTGGACTTGAATCCTCGTTTTGCCATTAACTACATGACCTTTGAACAATCATTTTACTCCTTCTTTGGGAGCAAACATATTATTATTACAATACAGGATTCATAAACTCCTAAGAAAACATATTTGAAAGTTCTGCAGACTCTCAAATCCAGCCCCTACCTTTAGGGGTGGTGATATTATCTGGTGGGCAAACATAAGTACACATGAGAAGACACTGTCAAACCTGCAAAAGCCAGAACCTGGGTAAGGTGGAAGCCTGTCAGAGAAGGAACTCAGTATTTTCCATATTAAAAAAAAAAAAAAAAGCGACAGAAAAGTCTGCATCCTGTCAGAGGTGGGAAACTTGCGTGATCTGGAAAAAAAAGTCAGTCCTGACGAGTTCCAGCTCTTACAGGTTTCACTGTATGTCCTCATACTGTGCTGTCTAGAATGAGTGCTGGGTGCCACTGACAAGTGCTGCAAGTCCAGGGCATACGGGGTACGTATGGGCAGGGTGACCAGGGACAGCAACAAGAGAAGGTAGACCCTGAATGGATATTACAAGTCAGGGAAATGAGCTGGGTAAATAGCAAAGAGAGGACATTCTGGGTAGGGAAGAGTTGGAGCAAAGATGTGGCAGCAGTTTGCCACATGGCCTACTCTAGCATTAGTTGCAAACCAGAGGATGCAAACCCATAACAAATTCAATAAGCCCAGTCTTCACATGTCTTACTGGGCTTCACTGTGTTTGCTTACTTATGTTTCGTTTTTGTTTGTTTTCCATGCAAGAAGTTTATTTACAAACAGCCAGTGTGCTATATGAGTTCAACAGAGTTTGATCCATTTTTCAGAGATTAGACTTCTTTTAAAACACTCCTCTTATCTGTTTCATGAATGAACTTAAACATGCTTACTTCTTAAGGAGTTGGTGTCTTACTATAAAGAAAGGGGCAGCAAATCCATAGCCAAACTATACAGTAATCGTAATTAGCAACTGCCAATTGTTTTCTACCGAAATGACAAATTCTTCCTTGGGTCCTCCTCACAGTGGCTCCTTTGGATCACAGAGGTAAACCTCTGGATGCTCTGCCTCAGCATGGCGTCGTTGGAGGCCCCAAGATAGGTGCAGAGAATGACAGAGAAATGGCCTGTCTGGTGTTTTTATAGATTGTTGTTGTTGTTGTTAAGTGCCATCGAGTCAGTTTTGACTCATAGTGACCCTGCAAAGGGTTTCTAAGGAGCAGCTGGTGGGTTTGAACTGCTGACCTTGTGATTTGCAGTCCAGTGCTGATCTACAGTGCCACACCAGAAATCCCTGACTGATGCACGATACCATTAACATTTGAGCTTGTGAGCCCTATGTTAAGTAAAACCTTCTGTTTGGAAAGAAGGCTCATGAAGGGAGCTGTCTGAGGGGAGATGTGGGTCCCTCGAGATACCCTAAAGGAGAAGAGAGGAGATGTATACTGAACCCCAATTTCCTCTGGCTGCTGTACAGCCTGCTCCTGCATACCTGACATCTTTGCCAACAGTCATCGACGCAATCACTTTCTTCACCGCCTCTTTCTTCTTCTCCTTCTTGTCACTGTTGAGCTCTGCCTTCAGCTCAAAGATCTCCCCTAAGACAAGGAGGCAGTCATGAGTGATCTGTTTCCACCTGCCCAGGATAACCCCTCCCCAATTTCTGAAGGTACAGAAAGGAGACAAGTAAGACACTGGTGGGCAGCTCTAGGTCCCAGGCCTCAGGTGGGACAGAGCAGTGAAGGGACCAGAATGGCGGCTAGAAAAGGAATTGTCAAGATGGCTCAGGGAGAGAAGAACCAGAAGAGTCCTGCTCAGCATGACTGCTAAGAACACTGAAAGGCCAAACATGATCCCTGAGCTACTTGGCCCTGTAGGTCCTGGAGACGGAGCTTAACAGAATCTGGGGAACTGAAGTTTGAGAGATGAGGGTGGATTGGATCGATTCTCACAAATGGGTTCTTCCTGTTTTCCTAGAACACCCAGTTAAAACTGCTGGCTCAGGGTTTCACTTCCTGAGGCCCAGTGGTGGCTCAGGCTCTGAAGATGGGAATTCAGAGGCTTCAGGAGGGCTCTTGCACGTAGTATATTGTTCTCAAGAATCTGGTATCTGGAACAAAGCCAATGAGGAAATAGGGTTGTTCAAGGGCCTGCCATGGAGAGGGAGTCAGGACCCTCATCATGGGTAAGAGGGTGGCTCTGGAGTCAGTCAGGCCTCCCAGTCTGAAAACAATAGCAGCCAGCATATCCTAAGCCTTTCCTGAAAACGGGCACTACACTAACTGCTTCCCATGCAGTTTTTTTTTCCATTTCTTCCCCACAACTCTGCATTTCCCCCAGTATGTTGTTGTTGTGGCTAGGTGCCATCGCGTCGGTACCAACTCTTAGTGATCTTCACCCAGTATACAGATGAGCAAATAGAGGCTTTACAAGATGGAGTTACTTGTCAATGTCACTGTACAGCTAGTAGGTGTAGGGCCAGGATTCAAATCCAGCTCAAGCACCTCTATAATCAGTGCTCTAAATCACTCTTCAGACCCACCCAGGACCACTCAGGGTGCTTCTCGGCACCTGTTTTCTGGTCTGTACTCTGTCTTTACCAAGGTGTCGGATGATCTAATTTCATCCCCACAAGTGTACTGCTCACCTTGAGGTCTGGCAGGCAGTTAGTGGGCCTGCACTATTACTATGATCCATCATCATGTCCTCTGCCTTGAATCCCTCTTTTGTAGAATGAGAGCCCTGGGCTTCCCTCTTCAGCTACTAGGGGTGGGGTGATGCAGCGACTATCACTGGGGTGAGGGGTGGGGGCTCTAGGTGGATTTATAGTGAGAAAAGAAAATGATGTAGGTTTTTTTCATGGAAGAAACAAATGATTAAGGGTTCAACAACAATCCTGAAGCAGCGGCAGCAAACAAGATGAATTAAAATCAATCACAGAGCATAGCCAGGGCCAAGGCCGGACTGAAGATGTTGCTCAACGACACCAGGAGGAATCTGCAGACCTTGCAAGCTCAGACTCATAGCCCTGCAGGGTTCAAGGGACATACGCCCTTCTTTTCCAATACACCCAGGAGGCGGGGCTTCTATCTCCATGCTCTGGGATCCAACAAACCAGGACAACTCTGACCCTGGAGCTCACTGCAGGATTGCCTCTCCTCTGCTCTCAGTGTCTGGTCAGACACACACCCATTAACTAAAAGTTCTAGGTCTGAGTCACCTCAGCCCTAAGAATGTTGGTGGGTAAACTTGGGGCTGCCTGCTTCTGAAATACCTCCTTCTTCTAATGGCCTCCAAATCCAGTGAACAGCCAATCCTACCTCTCAAATCACTCTCAAGGCACCCAATTCTCTCAACTTCCAGTGCTGCCCTCGCCTTCAGGCTCCATCAGCTCCCATCTGAATTGTGGAACTGGTCTTGCTATTCTCCAGTTTACATTTCCAATCATTATTAGAGTCTGCTGCAGACCTTCCCTCAGAACCATCACTGATGTCAGATTCATGATAAAAACGGGGGCATGTTTTTCCCCAGAATTCCCCACTCCACAAACCAAAAAACTAATGCCTTGCTTGAATTATTATATATACCTGAGTGTTTCTGTGTATACCCACCCACCCCCGAAAAAAAAAAAAAAGGGAATGGAAGCAAATACTGTTGAATGATGATGCACGCAGGAGATTGTAATCATTGCAATGAAACGATGGTGTAATGCTGTTGTTCTCCCATGTAAACTATCACTCAATTCACAATAAAAACTTAAAAACAAAACAAAAAACTCTATTACCATCGAGTTGATTCTGATGGGACAGACTAGAACCACAGGGTGTCCGAGGCTATAATCCATACAGAAGCTGTCACAGCTTTGTCCTGCAAAGCAGCTGCTGGACTGAAACCACTGACCCTGCAGTTAGTAGTCAGGCTCTTAATCACTGTGCCACCAGGCGGCCTCCATGGACCACTGTGAGATAAACACTGGATTGCTAACTGGAAGGTTTATGATTCAAGCCCACCAGCTGCTCCTTGTAAACCCTACACAGGGCCACTATAAGTCGAAACTGCACTTAACAACAATACCACAGAGATTCCACCCATCGCCCCCCACTCCCCACCATAAGCCAAAATCAAGACATTGACTTTGAGTCAATTCCAACTCATAGTGATCCTATAGGATAGCAGAGAATTGCCCTAGAGGGTCTCCAAGGCTGCAAATATTTATGGAAACAGACCATCACATCTTTTTCCCATGGAGCAGCTGGTGGGTTTGAACAGTCAATTTTCTGGTTATCAGCCAAGTGATTTAACCATTGTGATACCAGGACTTCTCCTCCCCTAAATATAAAAAACCCTCAAAAACCTACCCAATTCACTCAGCACTCAGTTCTCCTCTCCAGCCTGACTGACCAGGCCCTTGCTGAGTTGGTTCCTGCAAACCTCTACAAACTCCTCTTTCAGCCTCCTCCCTACTCACTCCTGCTTGACACTTTTCCTTTCCCTGAATGTGTCATGGGCAGAGGGCTCCATTGTTCCCCTTTCCTTCACCTCACAACACCCTGCACTTCCCTCATCGTGGGACCTAGCACCCAAGTCAGAGACTGTCAGTCTTCTCCACTGAACGTGCCAGGTGCTCACTAACAACTCACTGGACAAATACACAAGATGCCTGAGAAAGGGCAGGTGTCAGGTCCTAGCCCAACAGATCTAACAACGGGCTCTCTTTCGTCTTTTTTTAACTTTTATTGTGATTTAGGTGAAAGTTTACAGGGCCAACTGATTTTCCATTCAACAATTCATGCACAATTTGGTTTGTGACATTGATTGCAATCCCCACAACAGTGTAGCATCTTTCCACTCTGTATTTACCATTTCCATTTGTCTTTCTTTTCTATCCACCCCCTGCCTTCTGAGCTTTCTCTCTGGGCAAATGCTGCCCTTTTGATCTTGTATGGTTGATAACAGACTCGTGAACTGGTCAGCAGGCACATGTCAATCTCACTTGGAAAGGAGGAGGAAGGAAGGAAGGGCAGGTCAGAAAAATGCTTACAGGGTTGAAGCATATTTGTCAGCCACTCTAACATTCTCCATTTCTCTAAAAATGGAAAAGTTCAAAATACCCAACAATATAAGACTAACTTAGCAAATTTCGGTTTAGCAACTCAACAGAGTAACAGTAAGTCATAAGAACTGCAAGGAAATGTTTTTGATAATGTCAAAGGAAAAACAGGATATAAACGTTAGCTGCAACCATGTCAAACATGTGCCCATGGATAAGGACCAGGCACATACACACCCCATCATGTGGGGCTATTGATATAGGCTTATGTATGCTTTCTCCCCCCGCAGAAAACAAACAGCATGTTGAACAATTTTAAACCATGGCAGGGGGAACTCTTTTCATACGTGGAGCTAATGCTGCTCCCCTTCTTGAATTCTAGTAAGAATGGTCAATTTGTAACACATCAACAGTTTAATTTTCCTCATCTATAACATAGAGAAGCTCTGGGGTGTTTTCCCATCCCTAACTCCCACAGATCTAAGAAGGAGCAGACATGGAAAGAGTAGACCAAGGCCCCACAATGAAATATACAGTACCTTTCTTGGTGGTGGTGAAGTATTTTGAGTCCGTCATTTTGGTCCCTTATCAGTGGCCAGATTCTGCAAGACAGAGAAGAAAGAAAGGGTGAATTTCAGTTATGGCCCATCCATTTTCTGTCACAAGCAGAAGAGGAGGAGGAGGAAAGAGGAATCCAGCACACAGGGGTATGGGAAGATAGTTTATCTCTTCTCTTGGCAAGTCATCTGTTAAGATTATGGCTGGTTAGATTTTGGAGGTTAATTTGGATAGATCTTGTGTGGCACTGTTGTTTAAGCACTGGACTGCTAACTGAGAGGTCAGCAGTTCAAACCTAACAACAGTTCCTCTGAAATCCTATAAAGGGTCATTTTGAGTTGGGACTGACTTGACAGCATTTAACAATCACCACCTGGGAAAAAGATGAGGCTCTCTGTTCCTGCAAAGATTCACAGCCTCAGAAACTATAGATATGGTCATTATGAATTCAAACTCACCTGTTGCTTCTTGGAAACCCTCCCTACACAGGGTCACTATGAGCTGGAACCAATTCGATAGCACTTAACAAAAACAAAATGAACTGGAAGAGACTTGATGGCATTTACCACCACCAGCACTCAGTTTTTGAATGTGCATCTCTTTTGACGCAGCAATTCTACTTGCAGGAATCTCTCCCATAAAACGATAGGCACAAAGATATTTGTATAAAGGGTTTCATGGCAGCCTGTCCCTAACAGTGCCGAACTGGAAACAACTTATATGTCTATCAATAGAGGAATAGGTAAAGGCTCTGCACGAACTCATAGACACAAAAAAACACTTAAAAATTTGAGGGAGCTTCAAAAAGTTCACGGAAATTATTTATTTATTTATTTTAAAGCTTTTATTGTGAATGAAGGTTTACAGAGCAGAGCATCAGTTTTACAGTCAACCGGTCATACATGGTAATAATCCCCTCAATTAAACACACGTATTTATTCCACATCTCCCAGTTTCTTATTTCCATTCCTCCTTTTTCACCAACCCTTCTGAACTTTGCCCTTGGGTAAATGCTGCCCTTTTGTTCTCAAATAGTTTTATTAAGGTGTGCATACCACTCTAGTGTTGTTCCCCCTATATACCTATTGATTGCTGGCTAAAAATTGATTCACAAATTGAATTCAATTTCAGACCTGAAGGGTGACCAAGGGCCATAGTCTTGGGGTTCCACCAATCTCTATCTGACCAGTAAGCCTGGTCTTTTTAGTGATTCTGAGTTTTGTTCCACCTTTGTCCAGGGTCCTTCTAATGTGATTGCTTTTGAAGCAGTTGGTTGTGGTGGCCAGGGACCATTTAGTTCTGGTTGCAGTGTCATGGAGACTGATGTTCATGCAATCCATTAATCCACTGGACTAACTGCTTCTACTATTGGAAAGACTAATGGGTGTACCTTAGATGACTGCTCATGAGTCCAAAAGATCCCAGTTGCTATTGACCAAAGTAGGGTGGAGAGAAACGCCATTATCTTTTACTCCTTCATTATCTTTTTTTAAAATATTTTATTGTGAATTATATGGTAGTTTACATGAGAGAACTTTAGTTTTACATTCATTCCATCATATATCATCTCCTTGCCATGGTTCCAATCCCCTCAACCAACCAAAGGGTATATCCTAGGCATCCGCCCCCTACATTTCCCCCCCCATTCCCCCCCCCCCCCCCCTCGTTTTCTGCCCACAGTCCCTTTCCCTCTTTGGATCCAAAGTTCCCAGCCGCTTCATTACTCCATGTCATCATCTCTGTCTCCACCTCAGGCATCTCTGTTTCTCTGGGTCGGGTCCCGCTCTCGGCTCATCTCCGTTAATGGTCCCAGGTACCTCCGCTCCTAGCCTGTAGAATTAATCACTCTCTTCCTTGTTACAAAACGTCTACCTTTGCATTTCCAGCCCTCATAATCCGTCCTGATAAGCATTATTCACTACAGTATCACGAGTTACCCATTTGTATTTCATCAGCTCCGCCCAGACAGATTAAATAGTACCCACTGGAGATTCTACCTTCCTCCATACTCCCTAACAATAAGTTCCCCCTTGAAAGCTTGTAAGCCAGTCACTTCTTGCCTTTGTAGTCCCCCCCGCCCCATTTGAGACTCCAATGTCCAAGTTGCCCATCTCCGTCCACTCTGTGAGTGGAGGGGGTGGGAATGATTCTTGCTTAAGGATTTGTTCCTTCTTTTGAGTTGCTGCTCCATAGGTATAGGTCAAGTTCATCAGATTGTATCAGCTCACTCTTTTTTTTTCCCCCCTCTTCTATCTTCTGGTTGAGCTCTGATCATCCAGTCATCTAGTCCAGGTCACATGGGTATCATCTGCAAGTGTGGGCGCTCCTGTGCACATGCCCTCTCTTCCCGTCAGCCAGTAGCTCCATTCTCCTCTAGAGTCCTCTGTGGCCACGCCACTGACTCTGGGCCCAAGAGTCCCCAGGTCTCCTCACACTGCTTGCCATCCAGGTCCCCAACTGGGTCCACAGAAGTCCACTGAACATTGTAGGGCTTAGCTTGCCACTTCATTGCTGCTTTTACCCCATTTCCCCTCATTGGTGATGTGTGTGGTCACCAATCAGAGCGTGCATTTCCATTGAGTCTTAGTCTTGGAAGGGGGTTTGCATTGAGAGGACCTGGCCACTTGCCTTGATGTTTCCTAGGGAAGCAATTTGTTTGTTCTTGTAGTAACAGTCCATCTGCCTCCATTTTTCCTGCAGGTCTTTCTTTCAAGAGGTATCTTTTATTCTTCTAGCTGCTCCAGGCTGGTCTGCTCGTCCTTTCAAGTGGAGATTTCTCATCTCTGGAGATCTGGATGTGATTCCATTTTCTACCTATAGTTTTATGTATTGCAGAGTCTCTGCAGGAAGCCTTGTTCACTGGGTATGCTGGAGCCCCATTTTAGGTATTCCAATCAGTCATAGGCAGAAGATAGACTTACAAGCCTAGTGTGATGTTTCTAACTATTCCTTTCTCTCCCTCTCCAGTGTCTACTCTGTATTATAATGCAAGGGAAACCAAGATTAAAAAAACCAACCAACAAAAATACAGTCAAGCATCTTAACATGATTCCCCTCCTCCCCCCCATTCCAGCCATGACTCAATCCCTGTATCTCAGAGCCCTGCCGTTCCAAGGCTGTGTATATATTGTCCTTTATCTCTGTCCCATTTGGCCCTTTCAAACATGC